TCTGTGTGGGCTTCATCTTTCCTAACCCCATCCCTGCATGCTCAAAGAGTGTCTCTATATTCCCCCCAGGCCACTTGACCCTGCTTCCAACTCCTGTATGCTTCCTTTTTATGTTTGAGGTTTCTCAGGAACATCTTGTTCATGCAGACAGACGTCATGTCACCTTTGCTTCTTTCTCTGCTTGATGGGTTGGGCCATTCTGGTGCTTGGAGGAGGTGACCTTTCAAAAATCAAAGCTGACTGATAACACTAGAATAGAACCAGGTGTACAACCCCAGGTTAAAAATAAAAAATTAAGAGAAAAAAAAAAAAAAAAAAGTGAAACGCCTATAAGGCACTTCTAAGAAAAGAGCACTATTAAGAAGGACTAGAATTGTAACATCAGATGTTAGAAAGTCAGAACTTTTACAGCACCAGGTTGGATGCTGTTGTCTACTATTTTTCAAAAATGCCAATGAGAAACAAAGCAGAAACTTCTCAAGATGCCATTTCACTGTTCTGTGAAGTAGGATTACAGACTGTTCTCATACCAGTTTGACTGTGAGAGGATAGAGTATGTCTATCAGAACAGCCACTAATAGTTTCTCCCATATCTTCCATTTCAGACTGTGAAAATCTGTGCAGCACAATGCCCTGTGCAATCCCGTAAAAGGATCAGAAGGGAAATTACACATACCTATTAATTCATCAACCGGGCAGACTACTGAAAAGCTATCATAAACATCTGTTCCAACAGGCAGCTAAAAAGCTCAAGCCCAGAGCACAGATTCTTCCCCTTCAGTAGAGGAAGTTCCAGTTGATGAAGCACTCTTTCTCCAGCATGAGAAAGTTGCCATTTAATTAGTGCACCTTCTGAAACTGGGAATGATGCAGTCTGTATTCCTAGTCAAACTGTCTGCTGTCTCTCTGCCTTGCTCCTTTCCCCTCTGCTCTGCTGATGCTTCAGTATCAATGCCCATCTGTCAGGCAGATTCCCAGAGAGAAGTCTCACAAGGTGGCAGATCTAGTTTACCAGACACCATTGCTGAAAAGGGTCAACCCAGTTCACTGCCTGCTTGCATTAATACTGCCTTCCTTACACTGTGGTTTTGTACCTGTGTGATGCTGTGGAAAACCAGATCAACTCACTAAGCCAGCAGAAATCTAACTCATTTATTTTTTTGCATTCTTTTGGATTAGTGATAAGGATCAGCTCATTAAAAGATGTCACCCACCAAAGAATGTGGGAGTTAGGGGCAACAGCATCTTTTCTGTAGCAGCAGCTACCATATCAGCTCAAGCACCCTCTGAAAGTTGCAGTCATCTATCCTCTTTCTTCCACACATACAGCTTTGTACATAGAGCATGACCTCCCCAAACTCACCCACTAAGCTTCACTCTGTAAACTCAACCTTTATAGTAAGAGTTTTCTGCTTTGTTACCTGTATTGATTCAAGTGAATCAACTGTACATAAATTGTATCTGTTGACTACAATTTTCATTTCTTTCATTAGATAAAACAAGGAACAAATGCCTACTGACAGTTAAGTTTATAAAGTGCCCCAGAAAGGAACAGCTGCTCTCAAATTGGAAGTCTCGTACAAAATTTAGAGGAGAGGTATTATTACCAAAAATGACTCTCGGTTTATCATTTTTCATCACATCAACAAATTCTGATGACTTACATGACTCTCAGCTTCCCATAAGGGGTGAACAGGCAATGAGTAATAAATGAACAATTGAAGAGTCTACTGGGAAACAGTAAAGCATCACTAAGAAGACTTTTCAGTTAATTTTACTGTCAAAGGTACATAGTTCATCATTAGAATTCTACTAGAAGTCAAGAAGGTTCATGAAAAATTAGGCTAAAAGGCAACAAACCAGGAATACTAACAGTTGGGTATAAATTAAAGAAGTAGATCAGTCCTAAAACCAAATTTTAAAAGTACATTACGTTAAAAAAAAAAAAAGTATATAGCTATAGATAAGGATATACTAAAGAGGAAGGCTATGTGTAAGTTTACCTGAAAACAGTTAAATCCATCCATCAGGTGGATGGGGCTAATATACATTATCATCATATTATTGGAGGAGAAAACAGCACAGAATTCAGTCAAGCCAAAGGAAAATAGCAAGGATTTGGGACACTACGTTAGAGGTACAAGTGAAACAGTTTTACATTTCAAAGAAAGAGATTCAAGTATGTTCAACTACTACCCTGACTCTAAAATGGTATTGCTTTATGAATGTGTACCAGTACTTTCAATATATTCCAGTTACACTTTTCTACTTCCCAACTGCCTGGCAAGCAGGACTCTGGAACACACAAGTCACTCTCTGTGGGGTACAAGAAGCCACATGACAAGAGTCTTAGCAACCAAAAAGAGCAATTACAGGGGATTCTTGCTGTATACCTGCAGTGAAAATCAGCATGTTCAATGCCATTGTGTAGTTAAGCAGCTAATCCCTAAAAAGTCACTGCTCAGCATGTTTGAAATGAGATTTCCAGAAATTTATATTTTGGCCATGTTTTAGCAGACCTTCAGAAGTATTTTCACAGAAGATTGACAACAGGTGAATCAAAACTCTCCAGCAAAGTAGAGGCACTCCACAAAATATGTGCAAAATTTTTTTCTAAACAAAAAGAACGGATTTTCCTCTCAACCTTGACTAAGAAAAAGCAATTGTGTGTTCTACAGCTTCCCTCCTCCCTCCCCCTGAAAAAAATTAACCTAAAATAAAAAGCTAGAGATGGAATTTTCCATACAAGTACCTTACAGTTCTGTAAAGTTGCAACTAAGTGTTTTATAATCAAGAAATGCCAATCAGCTTTAATTAAAGAAGTGTTGTTCCCACATTATAGGAAACCTATTCATAACCTACAAGAACTCAAATAACAAAAAGTGAAAAAACAACCCCCCTCCCAATTTGTCTTCCAGATATCAAAACATGAGGGGAGTGGGGGGGTAGATTTCTCAACTCAACCAACTGCTGTTGTGCAGAACAAGAGTTACCTACTCCTTATTTGGTGATGCACATGAGCTGAAATGACAGGATTTGGCCCTACCAGAATGTCTCAACATCTCCAATTTCATTATTAAAATTATTTCTCAAAACTCTTTGTATTTTTTCAAAAGCTGGCCTAACAACAACTGTAGATGAAGTCTCCGCTGTACTTTTAATTCAGACACTCAGCACACAGGCGAGACCCTCAGGATAAGCTTTTCAGAAGCAGAAGGGCCAGGCGCAGTGTGAACATGGGTTCCACATTTCTGCATTTCTCAGAGCACTACTAAAGGGTTCACAGTTCCCCACTTTGAGATGTCACGAGGCTTTTTAACCAGCTACACCTACCTGCCTTTCAGGAGATCTGTGAAGAGGGAACTAGAAAAATTCAGCACTGTAGTTAGCCTGTCCTCACTGCTAAGTGGGCAGCTTCCTGCACGAGCAGTAACTAAGACCATTTTCCAACCTTCACCTCCAGCCATCAGGACTAGTTCCCACTTTTGTACCTTCAAACCTAGCTCAAAGGCTTTCCTCTGCACATGGGCATCAGGACTGTCTTAAAACTCAGGCTGAAGAGACCATGAAGGCTTGTCCCTAAAGGGCAGACATATCTTTCATCCACTGTCCTTTTCTTCAAGAACTTCATTGTTCTTCACTGTACGACTTCAACATTGAGATTGTTTTACTCATGACAAGTATATACTTGAAAAGGCCATACATATAATTCATCAGTCTTTTATTAACATATTAAAGATTTTGGAACTTCTGGAATATCATTGTACTTGACAGCTTCTAAGATGACAGAACAACCAAATAAAATCATAAAATCACAGAATACCAGGTTGGAAGGGACCTCAAGAATCATCTGGTCCAACGGTTCTTGGCAAAAGCACAGTCTAAAGTGCACGGTCTTAAAATACAGAAGTGCTTTCAGAAACAACAATAAAGAAAGAGAAGATGAGAAGAATAAGGTGCTTTCTTGTGAATACATTTTTAAGACAACAGGGTTTTACTTTAAAACACAAAAATACTGCAGCTCAGTGGTTTGCTTGGTGACTTTAAGTCAAAACACACACACTTATCAAGCCTTCCTGAATGACTAAGGGGCAAAAAAGTCTCAATATAAAATAAAATGATTTAAAGAGTCATTTAAAGAGTCTTTTCCTAAACATTCATCATCTGGAATTAAAAAAGCAGTAATTTATGTTTTTATTAAAAAGAATACATTTCTTATAAAAAGTAGAAAAAGGTATAGCACAATCTGATTTCTATTTTCAGTGAAAATCACGCTGCATCTGAAGTAGAACAAAAAAGTAACAGAGACAGATGTTCAGTTTATACATATTAATATAAAGTGTCCTATTACACTAATGAACCTATTTTTAAATGCTTTTCTCTATACCTATGGAATTACAAAACAAGCTTGAGAATATCATAACAACTTCCAGTTCCTTCATCTTCTACTAATGTATTTTAAGAACATTAAAAAAAGATTCTTGGACCCATATCAAGGTTAAAAAGAAAAAAAGTAACTTGTATGCCTACTTTTCTTTTCTGAAAGAGATATGAGATAAAGTCCTTAACCTCCTGTGGTCAGAGAGCCAGTTGAGCTACATATAATGGAGTAAATAACACAAAACCCTTCTACTTTTCATGTTTTCATTTCCAGTTACAGCTAGAATTTGGTGTTTGCTTAGACTTCACTTCAGTTATTCCTGTAGCTTCTTATTTTCATTATATGTTTTAATATCTATCATGTGGAAGAAAAAAAAATTAAGATACCTTCCCCTCCTCATTAACAAAAGGAAGTAAGGCATCTTTTTAACTAATACTGCACTGCTACTATCACTTTCTTGAAAACCTCATGACCAAGGATCATAAGTAATTACCATCAATAAAGTATATAAATATCCTCCTTAATAAGGCTGCACATGAAAAACAAGTAACTTCCTACCATACATTGACTGCAATATATATGATAGAAAACATTACACTTCCAAAGAACGGGTATTTACCTTTGTTGCAAGTTGTGACACTGAAGATGAAACTTCATCATGAAGAAACTGGTCTTTATTCTCAAAAAAAGGATAAAGATAAAAAAGGCCCATAGTCAGTTTTGGTTTGACAATTAGCGACACATTTTAGAGTATTCATAAATGCTTTTGTTCTAGTCAGCCCATCATAAAAGAAAATTGATGATATACGATCACAATGCAAAACTAAGCAAACACCAGTACTAAAATAAGAAATGTGAACAAAACTGCACTTAGACTGATGAAAAAAAATCAAACCCTTACAAAACCAAAAACCCCACACCCCAAAGAGAGATCAAGAAAACCCTTGTGTCATGATAATTTTAGTACAATTAAAATTAAAAATTTAATTTGAATCTTAATCATTTTATCTGTATTTTTTGCATTTACACTGATTTTCTCAGTATGCTCAGGCCATCCTGTTGCTATCAATGTTCTCTTCAAAACAGGACAAGTAAGATCAGTGTCAGGAGTACTTTATAGACCGAAGATAGATATAGGAAGTGGGGCACAGCGTGCAGGAATAATGTAATTTTAACTTTTTCCAGTCTGTGTTTTAATGAAAATATGTTACTTTGGTTTTGCTCTATGTATAATTCCAAATACAAACAGTCCCCAAGTACAAAACAACAGCTACCTATAATTTAAATTATTTAACTCCAATTCCAAGAAAAAACAAAATTACATCAGAATGGTTTCTGGAAAGCATCTCTGAAGTGGCAGTTTCACAGCATTCCCTGTATTCACTTTGGTCCATTTTCTGCTTATGTCAGCCACTTATTGCTTAAAAATCAAATTTATCAACTTCCTTTTCAACTAAACTAAAGGCTAAGGAGTTGATATGCTCTTTGCCTCGTAAGCTTTATTTTTGTTTTAGGGTAACTCCATGCGCACGTATCCCAAGACACACAAAACACACAGTACCCCAGCTCCTACGCATTACCAAAGACCTCCCTTCACTTTGCTAACAGCATCGGAGAGAAGTGAGAAAGTCAGCATGAGCTGTGTTAGGTATTCCTAGTCATGTGAGGGCCCAGATGCATCAGCTTCATTTTGAGAGAGAAGCTTCAAATCCCATGCATCTTTTTTTGTTGTTTTTTATAAATATTTTAAAATATATTTACTTGCCTATTCATGTTTTCATTTACATTATAGGTAATATTTTATATTATACAAGGGATAAGGATGGAATTAGGAACATTTCTAGAACCAGTATGAAGACCATCACACTGTAATTCAGTAATAACTGTATGTGCAGCAGAGTGGTTTGTAGATAGATAGCTTTACTTGTTGGGGCAGAACACAAAGTCAGGAACTCCTATTATCATCCAAAATGAGAATATTACTTCCTCTGGATCTTAAAAAGTTATTTAACTTCCGGATTTCAGTTAGCTGTCTTTAACACAGGAGGACATTATTGTAGTTGGGATACCAAAAATGACAAAGTTAAGATCTGTGCAGTACACTAAAATGAAATTCAATTATTTCCCCCCACCCCTTTTTTTTCCCCTCTTTCTTTCCTGTTAAGAGAATCATTGCCAGTGTTTTAAACAGAAATGCCACACACATACGGTTTCAGAAGTTTCCTTGTATTCTCCTCAACAATCTCAACTCTCAAACTTTTGGATGAGGTTGCAAAGCCTTCGACTTAACACCTCTGCTTGGACACAAAGTATGAGCTAGAGAATATTTCATCAGATTTGCCCAAATTTTTATCAAAAAGAAAGAAAAGTAGCAAGAACTAGAAAAGCCTCAAGGGGAAGTATGGTAAGAGGTGAAATTATCTCAGACATCCAGATCTGGCAGAGCTATCAGTTTCAACAACCAACAATACTGCCTCCAGAACAAACAAGACACTGTTAGTACCTTCCAAAGAAATAACACATCTGATTTTAATTCTTCCAGCTCTCCAAATACCTTAAGAAAGATAATAAAAATACGAAAACAGGCTTCATGCTCTACTACAGAGAAGAGAAAAGATGGAAGTGTGAAGGCGTGCAGCTTCTAGCAAGCCAGAATACAAGGAAGCAAGAGCGCAAAGCAACTTTCACAGTGCAAGCTTTTAGGGGAAAACCGAGATGCAATGAGCACCTCATGTGGCTAGGGAGTCAGTGTAACAAAACGTGAATACCATTGTTGATAGAAGATGTTATTCACAATAAATAGTAGACAAAAGGGGTATTTGCTTCTTCAAAAGCATGACAGCTAGGGCTGTGCTTCTGTATTAATACAGTGCTACTGCTCACGGACACAGGAGGTGCTACCTCATAAGGAATGAGACAGTACTGTCCAGTAACTATGCTCATGCAGCAGAGGCTGATTGTAAGAAGGCAACACAAAGTTAAAAGATACAACATGCAAAGCTTAAAAGATACAAAACCCTAAAGAAAGCAACTGGTGAAAATCCAATACCTAAAATACATTTTTGGGGGTGAACGACCTATCAAAAATCCATAGTATCCTTTTAAGATACACTGCCTGAGAAAAGGAGACTTGGACACCTGTGGTGTGCTTATGATGTCCATCCATACATCCCACATGCTCACAGAAACTCTTGACTGAAAACAGCCAGTAGGTTTGAATTCAGCAGCCTCAAAGAGACTAGATTTTTGAAATGTTTTGAGGAACATCCATTGCTAGGAAAAGCAGAGAGAAGCACACTTACGCCCCACGGCAGGAAGGGAGCACGGAGGAGCACGTGTCGGGGTTCAGAGCCAGCCATGGCCCACATTGCAGGGAGGGACCTGTGCACTGTGCGGGAGGGATGGGTTGTGTATTATTTAAAACAAAACAAAACAAAAAAGACAGGTGGAAAGGGGCCAGTGCCACCACTGGGAAGAGCTGTGCAGAAAAGACAAGAGGTCATATACAACCCTTCTTCACTTGTTACCCAGAGAAAAGTTTGTGGTTTCCAGTGATACATGTCAGTACACCCTCTTCTGATACATATTGTCTATTTTTGCTACTGTTCAGAGATCAGGGAGCCTACGACTTGGTTTTTCAAATTTTCTTTAGGGGACAATCTACTGTACAGCTACATGTAAAAAGCGAAGATGAGCTTTCTTTATCATGCTGTGTACACACGCTGACACTGAATACTTACAAATTATTTCAGTGTATTTTAATCTGGGCAGTTTACAGGTACAACAATTCATTTTTTTACTTCCATTTAAAAGAAAAATGTGGACCATAGTACAGTATTTAGTAACTAATAGGTGACTTAATGCTAACACTAGTGGGAAATGCTGATCAGCAATTTGAATAGCTTTCCAGTTCTGGCAGGGGGAGGTTGGTATGCGCAGTGTGTTTTCGTAAGGAAACAAGTGCCCTTTTGTTGGACATACTGCAAACCATAAGGTACTCAAGGGATTAATTCAACTATCACACAAACCTTTTTGTACAGAGATCAAAATTGTAATCTACTTCCCTCAGCTTCCTTTGTGGTAAAGTAATTAATTAGTGTCTTTAGATCATTCACTTTCATAATTCAGGCCAAGATGAGGAATGCTGGACATCAAAGAGTTAAGGCAAATAATAGCATCATCTCGCTCTCCATGCCCTTCTTTTGCTCTAGTACATAAAATGGTATATTATCGATTTTCTCTACCGGATTGTGGAACCTTCCTATCGTACACACTAGCTGTCAAAGCCAAGCACATGTAAGAGTAAACAAGCTATTACTAAAAGAGTAGGTCCTTTTGGTGCAAATTCTCACCCTTCTATTGACCTATTACATCCCCTCTGCCTATCATCACATATCTTCAAGGACTGAGCTTAATTTGAAGTCTAGGTTATCAGGCATGTAAATGCAAATTAAGATTTTGAACCACAAATGTATAACTTCAGTGGAAAAAATCCCCAAACAAACACCACCTCAAGAGATACACTTCAGGGTAGAATTTAACACAATTTCCAGCATTCCACAAACCCCACCAAATCATTTAGTGATAGGAGAGGGAAAGGTTAAAAAAAAAAAAAAAAAAAAAATCAAAAAAAAAAAAAAAAAACACTCAGGAAATCACAAACCTCAAAGTTAACCTCTGAAGTTGGAAAGATTCCCAAAACACTGATTACAAACCAAACAGTTGAACAACTTTATATACACAGCCTGACCAGAAACAGCACAGATTCGGAAGAGGAGATCACACTGCCAGATCACCATCTTAAAATACAGCTAACAAAATAAAGCGTTTTCCTGGGTTGGAGTAGAATCTTGCTATAACATCAAATGAAACAAACAATACTAAAGCAGATTATTAATCCAAAAGTCACTCTGCTTATTAATTTTAGAACTGAATCAAAAACAATGCAAAATGCACTCAAACATGGGTAAGAAGAAAGCAGCAGATCAGTGGTACTGGGCCTCATTTTCTTTGCTGCACCTACAATATACACCTGGAAAAATTCAATGTGTGGATATATGCTTTCTGAGTCAGGAAATTGAGGCAACAGTGTTCAGATGTAAATGGACACTGGAACAACTATGCTATTTTCAACATAATCTTTTAAAACAGCTGAAAAATAAAGCTAACTGTACCTGAACACTCACACGAAACTGAACATGCCCTTTGAGGAAAAACAAGGTTTGCAATTTTAACAAATAAAGGATGCATTACTCAGTCCTACATAGCTTTCTTCTGGGACACGAGGCTATGTGTTCAGCAGACATAACTCCCATGCGGAACTGTGAATTGCCTCTGCTCCTTTTTGGCAGAGGTAGCCTAGATTGAGATTAAGATCATTTCATTAGTCTTGTCCATATTTCATCGATTGCTGGATCTCAGTCTTCCATTCGTATGTCCCTAAAGCAAGTGAGGAAACCAACCTAGCCATCTGGGCAGGTGGTGTAAATTGAAAATTTCCTATTAATATCACCAATGAAAAATATTAACCTAGGCATTCCTGAAGTCTGTTCAGGCTCCAGAGTAATTCAGTATTTTAAACTCATTTTTCTCTTCTATAAAAAATGCTTTTCCACTCCAGAGTGCTCACTACACTGAGAAACAACTGTATTATGACAATATACCATTTTAGATGCCACT